CCTGCACATGATCAGTTCCCACTCTGGAGCATGGCCCTCAACTGCTCTTATCTCAGCCTGTTTACAATGGGCATAACTTCATCTGGCCTTTTGCAGACATCTGCCTCTGGGGCAGAGGTGCTCATAACCGCCCTGTGATATTCCCAGCCCAGCCAGTAGGGCCAGTGTTGCCTGCCAACTACCATCCACTCTGTTGCTGTTGCATCTTAGGTTCCCATCTGCTCCCCAGGCCTGGAACATTTCTATCCCCTGTGTATCACAGTCTACCTATATGGCCCTGCCGCCAGTTCATCAATAGGCTCCCTCATGTCCCCCACCCTGCAGGCTGCTCAGCGCTCTCCGTCCTTGTAGGGGGAGGGGAACACTGTCATTGGCACCCACAGGCACCAGTTGATATGGCCTTGCCATTCAGCAGACATGTTCCACTCTGGCTTTGGCTTCTCCTGCACAGCCATGCTATAAAGATGCAGGCAGCATTTGTGGCCATTGTCACAGGACAGTGCCAGATTACCCCAGGAGTTTTGCCAGCCCACACCAAACAAGGAAGACATGCAATAGGGATGCAGTTTCTCTACCAAGAGGCCTCTCAGGCCTGGGGTAGGTTTTTGCTACAGAGTTAACGTGGGTGGCTGAACAGAAGGGTTAGCCTGGCTGAGGTGCAAGCAGCCACAGGGCACAACACCATCTGTATTAGTGCACCTTCCCAGGACTGCCCTCTGAGCCCATCATTAGGACTTCCGAGTGTAACCCACGGTTCTGCAATAAACTGAGCTGCTCTGTGAATTGTGAGAAGGTTCATGTCTCCTTCTGGGCACACCGGGGGAATTGTGGGAAGACACTGGAGGAATGCGAGCATTCAAGTGATGTAACCTGTGTCCTTGCTGCAGATTACCAGCTCCAGTGGAAGCTGTAAGCAGGTTTTATCCTGTTTAGCCTGAGTGTAAAGCACCACCTAACTCAGGTCAGAGACCAGAGGAGGTGTTGGCGTAGTGCCCAAGGGAGAGCCCAAGTTCACTCTCCGCTGCCCACATGCCCTTTTTCAGGTCATAAGCCCAGCCTCTGCTATAGCTGCAGCAGCAGCCTCGTGCTTTTAGAGTAGACAGGTGCAAGCTGTAGCCTCACCTCTAGTCCTGAACAGGTGTAGTGTTTGCAAGTCTGCTGTAACCAGGACCTTGACCAGTCCTGAGAACATCCCTGCTCTGTGTGTGTTTCTAGCTATACAGTGTTTGGATTACAGATTTTTAGTGTGTTCATATCCCTAGGATCACAGTACCTGAGCCCCTCTGTGGCAACAGAGTTAGCCTCCCAGCATGTCTCCATGACATGAGGAAGGTTGAGATTTTCATTGTATCCACAGGCAACTAAGGCACAGAAAGGTTAAATGACAGCCCAAAGTCACCTAGGAAGTCACTGGCAAGGCTGGGATTCAACCCTGATCACCCAGGATCTTGGCATTGCTTCAAGTCTGCCTCTCTCACCCTTAAGCTGATCAATGCTCCCTCTCACCTCATCTTTAACCAACAGCAACCTCCAGTGTAAAAAACCCGACATCTCGCAATGACATCCCACCCTACCAGCGGCTCTCGACTGCTCTCCATTACATGACCCTGAGGACTAGCATCACCTTCTTCCCATGTCCTAGGAGCAGCAACACAAGTGTGCTCCGAGTGGGTAGTGATGCTTTCTGCAGGAATGACAACAGCCGGCAGCACTGCAATGGACCCCTGCCCAACCCTGGGCCCTACAGGTGAGGCAGGATGACCCCAAGGTAAATCAGCAAGGCATCACCTGCCTCCAGGGGCACATCCCCCATCATGTACACCCAGGGGGATGCAGAATAACCTCTTGGCAGTCTGTGGAAACCTTCAGTCAGTGAAACAGGCAGCTGGAGGCATGAGGGGGCTCAGTCCAGCTGTATATGGAGAAGGGAGGTTAGTGGGTTTTTTGGATTGCAGTAGGTAGCTCTGAAGAGCACCAGGCATAGAGCAGGGCCTCTATATGCTAGGCACTGTACAAACACAGCACAGAAAGAGGTCCCTGCCCCAAAGAGCTTACTGTTAAGACATTAAACATCTTTCATATCAAGGGCCCCATCTCTTCCCTCCCAGCCTTGCAAGTTCCCTATCACCTCTGAGCAGTACAGCATCTTGGACTGGACAGGCACCTGGATGGGATCATATGATCCCAGGTTTGATGACCCTTTTCTTGCCTGCCAGGGGCAGGGGGTCTGACTAGGTGGCCCACTGAGGTCCCTTCCGACCCTAGAATCTATGAGTCTGCACCTTGGCTGCATCTGAGTTTTCTCTCCCCCAGTTACTTCTCTCTCCAGCATATGCACGCTCTAAGGAGATTCCTGGTTCTTTTTCACCCACTTTATATGGCTGGGCTGACTAAGGGACAAGGAGGGTCAGTGACATTTCCAGGAGCCTTCTGGCTTCCAGTCCTTGGACCACAGGATTAGGGATCTCTTGCTTGCTAAGGATTTGGTTGCCTTAGTGACTCCTAGGCTCTTGAAGAACTCATGTCCCCGATGTGTTCCTGGCTCCTGTCCTTACAACCATGATGTAGGTGCCACCTGAACCTCTTCAGCAGGGGGAGGGAAGATTTCTCCTCCATTCTCTCCTTCCTACTTATTCTGGCAAGTGATCCCACAGGACCTGAGATGCTTCAGGGACCTTGAGCCTGGGATTTTTTTATGCTTGCTCTCTCTAGTTTCCCAAAGAGCAGATTGGAAGGGGGCAAGATCACAATCCATTTGTTCCTACACCACGTGGCTTCTGAGAGCAGGGGCTTCCTTCATGCTCCCAGTCAGAGTGAGACCCAATAGGTGGACACTGAAAATAAACAAATGCATGTGAGAAATATGGAGGAATGTTTAAATAGGGAGGATAATTAACTGCTGGGGATTGTCCAGCACTCAAGAATCACTATCTGTCCTTCCAAAAGAAATGTCACAACTCAAAAAGAAGCCACAGCCTCACTCCAGTAATGAATGATAAGGCTCTGTGGCCTACAGAAGGGACAATATCCGTCCTTTCCAGCCTTAAAATTCAGACAAGATAAAAGCCCAGAGCATCTGCTGGTCTCACACACTACAGCTCCTTTAGATCCGGCACAGGTCCATCACTTCACACCAGCAGAACCTCAGCCCCTCCAGTAGGCAAGAGTCTTGGACTGGCTAACATGGACAGACCCAGGGATTGCCTGTTAAACAGGATGTTTTTTATCATGGAGCACAGGGGCCGTATCTGGCTTTGCAATTTGCTTCAGCATCTCTGGCGCCAAAGGGAAAGAGGGGCTGGATTCCAGCTAGATTTCACTGACCTTCTCTCTTTCCTCCACGCTCCCCCTCCCTTCAGAGTGAAGTTTCTCATCCTGGATTCCAATGGTGCCAAGGCAGAGACAAAATGGTCTGAAAGAATCACTCTGAAGCAAGGTAACACCAGCAGGACAGGGACCACTTACTAGTTTCACTGGTAGGGCTCTTGTTCCCTTTAAGCCCTGCATGTGCCTATTTGCACTGCCTGGACAGCACAAAAAATGACTGCAGACTGCCAGAGTTTGTAATGAATCCCTGAGAGCCAGCACTGACCTATGCCTGAAATGGACTTCCTTACAGGGTCTCTTCACAAGCGCAGCAGCCCCTTCCCCTCTCAGAAAGACTCGGCTTTTCATAACCCAAGTTTTAACTCCTGGGACTCACTTGGTCTCACTGACCGGTGAACCAGATGGAATAGCGCTGCCTCTACACATTTGGCCTTATAGCAGCAGTCCAGCATACACCCTGCATGACAACTGTTTTCCAGTCCTTAGGGGGAATCATGGAAAGGATGACACTTGTCAAACAGTCATGATACTGAACCAGAGAGGAAAGTGAAAGCTCAGCAAGGAAATGACTGAGCAGCACTGAGCACTACAGAGGGAACTGGGCCCCAGTGATCCCAACCTCTGCCATCTTCCTCCCTATTTCTGCTCAGGACCTCCCTCCCCTCCCAGACCCTTCCATATCCAGCTCCCCCCATAGCTGGTTTCTCCTCCCTTTGCACACCTTCCTCTCCATGCCTGCACTGAAAGCCTGCCCTGCGGAGGGCACGGCACTGGATTCAGTGCTTCAGGAGACCCCCTCCACTCCTCTCTCCCTCTGCTGCAGGCCACAGGTCAAGCACCATTGACACCTGGCCAGGGAGGCGCAGCGGCACCATGATTGTCATCACCGTCATCCTTTCCAGCTTAGTCGGCATCCTGACCATCGCATTCCTCTGCACAAGTGCCTATGAGTGGTAAGCCCCAAGGGAAACGCAGAGCAGCCCAGCTTTTCTGCTAAGGGAGCGATCTGTCAGCCTGAGCCAGTGGGACCCTACGGGCCCCCCCAGCACTTGGTCACCTCCTGTGGACTGCCTCCCCCTGGCTGGTGTGAATGGGTCTGGCTGGACCTGGGACCCTCTGTTGCTCTCTTGGGTGACCCATGGTGCCCACAGTGCCCAGCCAGCTGTCTTACACCAGAGGCCTGTTTAAACCTGCCAGCAGGGACAGCGCAAGGCACTGGAGAGAACAGAAGGAGGTCTGCGTGCTACCTGGAGCTTCCCCTCTCCAGCAGTGGCAGGCCCAGCCTCTCCAGATAGACAGTCTCCTTTCTCCAGAGAGCAGCTTTCTGACTTGTTCAGTCCTAGGGAGCTGTCTGTGTGGAGCTTAGCTGGCACCAGTCTTTTCCCTTGCCTGCCTGGAGGTGTTTGAAGTGGCCCCATTGCTTTGCCTCCCTGCGCAGAGGCTTCCCTTCAACCGCGGCCCCACAAGAAGGCAGAGGGCACATCCCGTGGCAATCACACGAAGCATCCTCCCATAGTACTGCCCTTCATGCCATGACTCCATTATTCCCACCAGGCTCTTGGCCACAGGTTTCAGCTTTGCTTTGATCAGAAAACCAATTTTGGGGTTATTTCTTTTCCCAGCCATTTTCCCTCAGGAGCAGTTACCCCATTTTCCCAACCAGTTTCCCTCAGCACCTGGTGGGATGAGGCCAGGGTGGGGCCAGCTTGTCCTGGGGGCCTTCCTGCCCCACCTTCTCAGCTAGGCGGAGGGTAGTTTGGCCTCTGCACAGCCAGCAGCTCAGCCAGGTGCCGTGGGAGGGCCGGGAGGGGGTACTGTCCTGTTCTCTGTGCATCTCCCTGCGACTGACTGCCTCCGTGTTTACGGTCTCTTGGTCTCTTGCAGCTTTAAGCTCTGGCAGCGAGAGGATCCTGCCATGGCAGAGGAGCCGCCTGCCGGGTCCTTCAAGGGGCGGCGCTATGACACCCACCACATCCCTCCATCTCAGGCCCCACCTCAGCCCCCCAGCGATGTGCCAGGGTCCCCAGCTGCCTCCTCTTAGCCACAGCTTCCCTTGCTCCACGGTCCCCAGTTCACTGATGTGCACTCAGGCTCTACATATGGCTTCAACTTCCCTGCTGGCCCCTGACCCCAGCACCCCCACCCTGCTCCCCACTACACAGCCCCCATTCCTGCACCCAGCCCAGCACTGTATTCACACGCCCTGGGCTGCCAGGCCTCAATGGCACCAGGAAGGGAGGGGACCCCGCGCAGGCCCTCAGCTCGAGTCCCTGCCTTCCTGCTGTCGCTTCTACTGCCCTGCCTGGTTGCGGCTCTTGCAAACACACCACAGTCCTGGCCCCTGTCAATCAAAGGTCAGGCTCTGCTAACTCCCCATGCTGCTCCCCAGTGCTGAGCTCAGGGTTTGGTGCCCACCAGCTCCTCTCCACAGTTTGTGGCTCTCAGGATCCATTTGGTTCCTGGACCTATTGATGGGGCCAGAATAACAACAGGAGCCTGTGGACGGGGGTTGCTGAGGTGCGGATGCTGTCAGGTGTCCCTGGCCAGGATCCTGTGCCAGTGAGGCAGATGCTGTAAGCAGCCACAGTGTCGCTGACAGGGTGAGGCCACAAGGGGACAGCACAGCACAAGGATGCGGGGAGGCAGGAGGCGATAGCACGGGCAGCTGGATCCCCTTTCTGCAGAGCCTGCAGGTAAGCAGAGGAAGCAGCCCCGGGTGCTCCAGAGAAGGAGCCTCCCCTTGCCCAGGGCACATCCCTGGGTGCTGTGCTAGCCTGGCAGGTCCGCCTTGTCCTGTTGATTCTCTTGTCCAGGGGTGGTAACACTGTAACAAGAGCAAAGACCCTAGGCACAGAAAGGCCAGCAGCAAACCAAGCCCAGCCCAGTCCAGCCCAGCCTGATCTTCCCTCTGCTAAAACCCCAGCGCTGTATCCACAGTGTGGGGAACAGGCAAGGGCTTGCTGCTCTCAGTGGCTTTTCTCTCCACCCCAGCAGAGCAGAAGCTGCTCCAGGAGACAGGCATGGGCCTGGGCCTGACTCCTGGATCCAAACAGCTCTCTGAAGTTTGAGGGAGTCCAGACCTGGATTCTGCCAGTGGCATCTGTTCCTGGCTGTTTGACCCACAATGACCCAACGATGATCCAGGTTGTGACCTTATCATTCCCCTCCCCACAATGGCTTGCTCTTTACTCTTTACTCCCAAGCCCACAGGGTAGAACAGCAGGCTGTCCATAATGACTCCACCTGCGGTCGAGATGAAACCAAGGAGATTGGCTGGAGGCATGGGAGGTTCCCCTGCTCCAAAAAAGGCCCTTTCCAAAGCTCTGCCTGGTTGTCTGACATGTGACAGTCCTTCAGGGGAGCCCAGAACGGGCCCAACCAGCACAGCCAACACCAACAGGTGACTGGGGAAGAAAGCAAGCAACTTTCCCCCTCCACAGCCTATCCCCAGGGCTTCTAAGTCCAAGACAGTTATCTAGGTGAGATCTGAGCCATCTAGCCAGGCCAAAGTCTGGGAGCAAAGCCAAAGTCTCAGTTTAATGGCTACTGACATTGGTTTGTCTTACCAATGCTCTCAACTCAGTAGCCCAGCCAGGCTGTAACAGAGCTGTCCTACCTACCAGGAGATGAATCAGCCCAGCAGGGGTGCAGATTGGGGAACTCTAGGCCTCATGTAAAGGACCAGATACCAGTTTCCCTCCCTGGCCCCAGTAGGAAGTCATCCTCAGGGACCATCCAGTGGGCCAGGACTGTGAGAGGCTCAGCTTCCTGTACGTATTGCTGGGGGAAGGGGTCAGTCTTTATACAAATGATCTGTCCCCTGAGAAGTAAACTGTAGTATGGATTTTTAAAGTGCTGCATCTCTGTTGCCCTTTCTGACCTCTGCAACTGTCCCAAACCTTCCTGATCAGGGAGTGTCTAGGAGACAGAACTGCTGAGCACACACTGCAGGCACAAACTGCTACACAGCTCCAGCTCCATCTTCACCCAGCTTTGTTTACCACCCCACCAAACAATGTGGCCATGGTATAACTGCAAGAAAATGGTGCATTCCAGGAGCCAGAGATGTCATGAATGACATTTCCCTAACATGGCACCTTCCACCACAAGGACTTACCAAGTGCATTGGCATCAACTGGGTGCAGCAGCTGCTTGATATACAGCAAAGCTGCACAGCCAGGAAAGGCCTCAAGCACCCAGCGCTACGGAAGGGAGCCATGAGCAAGCTAAACTGTGTAAAGACACAAGCATCTTAGGCCAAGGAATGTCACGGCACTTTCCTGCAGGCGGGTGGATGTACAAGGAGGCTGGAGGGTGAAAGAGGCTCAGAGAAAGACTGAGCTGGAGGGGAAGGGGTGGCCTGTGTCTGAGTAAGAGGCAGGGCTACTCAGTGCTGGTGCAGCACTTGGAATGGGAAGAATAAGAATTGCACACATGCCCCATGAAAATGGGCTGTGGGGGGGTGCAATGCATCTCTGTGCAAGACAAAATGTGAAATGTCAGCCCTCACCGGTATGACCTCAGACAGCAACAATCATGCTGGCTAACGCCTTGCACAGGAAGCTAGAGCTCCCATCCTGAATCAGGAGCATGGGTGGAGACAGGCCAGTGCAGTGGGTATAGCACAGCCCTTGGGGGTCTCTGTTACTGACTTCCTATGTGCCCTTGGCCATGTCCCTTCCTCTCCATTTCCTGACCAGTAGAACAGGGACTACTGCAAGACAAGGGCTTAAACAAGCAGGAAAAAATGGTTTATTCCCTCTTACACACACAAACTGCATGCACCTATGTGCACACCTGCAAGCATGCTCTTAACACCCATGCACACTGTCACACTCTAATGGAGCCCAACCTTGTGCCCATACGTGGAGGGCTATGCGGTGGGGAAGAAGTGGGGCTGGGCCTGGGACTGGGCAGGGATCAGGAGGGAGCCAAGCTGACCTGGGGCTCCAGGGTTGTTGCCTGGTGCTGGTGCCCCCCGTGCCAAGAAATCTGCCACCCCTCAGCCCCGCACTGACCCCGGTTGCCTCCCTGCACCACCTGGGGGGGCCCAGACCTGGGGGCCGGAGTGGGGCCAGCCTCAGCTGTGCTGCTGGGCTGGAGGGGACAGAGCCCCCAGGACTCCTACGCCTGCTCCAAGTCAGTCCTAGGAGTGCACGGGAGCATGTGGCCCCAGATCTGTGCAGGCAGGGCAGAGCAGACTGCCTCTGCGGGTTGGCGCTGGGGCTGCACTTGGCTCTCCCTGGCGGAGGGGTGGGGGCAACACTGGGAGGGGGATTGGGGAGACTATGGTGAATTTCGGGGTGGCTGCAGCCCCCTCCCCCACGGTCCCCTCCCAGTGCCACCGCCGCCTGCAGTGAGAGCAGCCTGGCCCGGCCTGCAGCAGCAGCCTACCCTGCCCCACACACATCTGGGGGAACATGTCCCCATGCCTCCCAGAGTGTGCGTAGCAGCGGGAGCCATGGCCCCTGGACGAACTGCTCCCGGCTCAGTCCCGCACCCCTCCTCTAGCCCCAGCTCCAGGCCCGCTCCCTCCTCACCCCTGCTGCAGCCACTGGAAGCCTTTGACCAGTCTGCCTTGCTGCCCTACTGCTGCCCTGCATTTGTGGGGGCTATGCCGCGTTAGCCCGCCCCCCTTCCCCCACCTATGCTTGTGGCAGATGCAGTACTGCAAAGCTGACCCTCCCTTTTCTTCTTCTAAGGCCTCCAGCTGGGAGGTATCTTCCCTCTTTCAGGGCAGCAGGATCCACTTTACTCAAAAGGCAATCCACCCCCTGTCAGTGATCGGCTGCTGGGAGACACCCCCCATCGGCAATCTGGTGCCCCTCCAGACTTGGGAGGCACCAGTCGCCCATGCCTCCTGCACAGTCTGCCTCTCTCCTCAGCAGTACTCACTCCACAGTAGTTTCATAGTAGTTTGGGGTCAGAAGGGACCTGAATAGATCATCTAGTCTAACCCCTCCGCCGCTGGCCAGAGCACACGCTGGGATCACATGATCCCAGCCAGGTGTTCATCCAACCTCTTTTTGAATTTACCCAAGATAGGAGCGAGAACCCCCTCCCTAGGAAGTTGGTTCCAGATCCTAGCCACCCTAACAGTGGAGTGCCTCCTAATCTCTAACCTGAACCTATTCTCCAGCAGCTTCTGGTCATTGTTCCTCGTCACCCAGGTGCTGCTGGGGGGAATAGGACCCTTCCTATTTGCCTGCTGATCTCCCCTAATGAGTTTGTAGGCAGCCACCAAATACCCCCTCAGCCTCCGCTTGCTGAGGCTGAACAGGTTCAGGTCCCTCAGCTTCTCTTCGCAGGGCCATCTGCGTGATACCTCTCTCCACTGCGCTACTGAATTTTCCAGTAGAATTGCCCACAAGCCCTGTCTGTAGCAGTTCGTACAACAGGCAACGCTCTCAGCCGGCTTCCCCCGGTCAGGTCCTTGCTCTGAGGATAAGAGGTTCTGTGCTCCTGACCCCAGGCACTGCATCTGTTAGCCCCATGCTGCCCCGTGCCCATCTGACCAGAGTGCCCACACTCTCCACCGGGTGTGCCAAGCCTCCTGGCTGTGTGGGAGCCAGCTGGCCTATTTCCCCAGCCCAGAAAAGGCTTGCTGCCACCCACCTCAGACAAAAAACTGCTGGGGTACAGCCAGACTGAGACAGGAGCCCTTTTTTCTCCAATCCTACCTAGCCCAGTGCAGGCATGAAGTGGGCAGCCACCGCCCTCCCCCTCCCAGAGGCAGAGAGCCATGAAATGCCCTTGTCAGAGCAGGGCTGCCCTGCTGCCATACACCACTGCCTAAATTTCTCTGCACCTTCAAGGTGAGTGAGTCAGTCACTGCTGCAGGGCCCAGCCCAGGTGGTGGGCAGGTGCTCTGCAGCTCAGGCACGTCAATCCCCCCACTCCTGCTTTCCCCTTAAGGTGGGAATGGAGGTGAGGGGTAGGCCAAAATTCACATCAGCTTTGCTCACACACATCAGTGACCCTGGTAGACAGGAATGCTCAGGGAGGCACCCGCGCCTGCAAGAGAGAGGGAGCAGGGAGATGAAACATGGATGTTGTTCCAGAGCACAGGAGGTGCAGCCAGGGGGAATGGGTCCATGCAGTCATGCAGCCAGTGAGGAGCCAGGCCTGAGCCAATGGTGAGGAAGAAGTTAATGTCTAGGGAGTAAGTCAGTTCTGGTTGGGACCTTCCTGCCTGCCAGGGCTTAGTACAGCAAATGCGGTGCAAAGTGTTCCAGCCTGTTGCCATCTTCCCACCAGCTCCCTCAAAGCTGCCCCCAATCATCCATCTCCCTTTGCTCTCTCCTTTCTGATCCTCCACAAACCTCTCCCCTCATAGAGACGTCCCCTCCATACCACCCTACAGAGGAGTGGGGCTTGGTCCCCCATCCTGAAGAGTCTAGCTCTTGTGGTTACAGCCACTCTGGGGTCCCTGTGTCAGGTGCAGCAGGAGGGATCATTCTGCCACATAAGCATCCAACCCTCCACCTAGCACACAGCAGAACCAGAGCTATTTTCACTGTAATTGTTTTCCATTAAAAAAACACTGTTTTGGTACAGAACTGATATTTTTAGGGTGGAGTTGCATCATTTTCAACAACATTTCATTTGGAAAAAACTGATTTGCGAATAACCAAATACCTTGTTTTAGAATGAGGTGTTTTCATGTGAAAATGGGGGTGTAGGTTGTAGCCACATTGGGCTTTGGGTTCTTTGGGTGAATCTGGTAGCTTTTATTAGACCAATTTAAATAGTTGGAAATTCATGTGAAAATGGCTTTGTTTCCTCACACTGATGCCTACTAGTTAGCAGCAGCATTACTCTTCTGCTCAGCTGTGTTTCGAAGCTGGTGTCATACACTCAGAGAGAAGTAGGGCTGGATGGGACCTCCAGAGGTCAGCTAGTCCAGCCCCTGCCTGAGTTAGGATCATCCCTATCCAAACCATCTCATACAACATCATCTAACCTCTGCATAAGGCAATGTTATCTGCAGGGGCCTCCTCAACTTCCCGTGCCTTGTTCACAAGTCACCTTCTCTACAGTGGCAAAGGAATCTCCACGTGCTGGAAGGCTGGCTGAAGAACAGGCTTCTCTAGAAATCATGCTGGAAATCTCATGAAATCTCAGGCCTTTGTCAAAGTTTTTCAGCTCCTCCTGGATTCAGATGGGTCAGTCTTGCCCTGAGAACTGTTTTCCTTTTGGTGTTTTTGCTGAAACTGGGAAACACAGATCTGAGGGAAACCAAATAGACTCTAAAGCAATGGTTCTCAACTTTTATGCACTCAGGGTAATCATCAGAAAATGCCAGCTCTTAGGTTTACTTATTTTTTGACTATGGAAAATAATAGAGCAATTCTGTTCCAAAGAACTCAGAAATATTGGAACAGGGCAGAGGGTTTTTGGCATCATGGATTCCTATTGAAACCTTGTGTTTTCTTGTAAATCATGTCTGCACCCTTAACCGTGCTAGCATTGCACCCTGTGACACCCTTGAAAGGATCTCAAGGCACCTCAGGGTACCATGGCACCCTCATTAAGAATCACTGTTCTAAAACTTCACCGCAGCTTTTGAACTGCTGATTGAAGCTTTGGAGGAAAATCTCCGCTGAGCTACTTCTCAAACTGGAATGCTCTCCAGAGACGAGCACGCTCGCTCCTCACAACCATCCTTGCTAGCGGCTCTGTCTCCTCGCTGGCAGCCCTGACTCAACTGAACCCATGTTCAGGCTTGTTACATTTTTCTTCATCACCTGCACTTGACCTTGGCATTTTTTCTAGCAGTGTTTGTTTTCACCCCACCTTCTGCAGAGACTTCCAGTGGGTGGGACGGGGCAGGCCCAGGCTCCTTTCCTTCTGAATGCCCCCTTTGTGGGCAGGCAGTTTTCTACCAGGATGATAAATAAAACTCCTGGTGACTTCAGTGGATGCAAGATAGGACTGTGAGTTTGTGACTGGACCATGAATTTCACTAAAAGGCATGTCAAGTCATGGAAGTTGAAAGTGTCCAGCCTAGCCTATGGGGCACTTGGCACCTTAGCCCCAATCAGAGCATATGTTCACAGGATTGAACCCTCAGCATCTCAGGGATCATCCACGCTGGTATTCTTTTGCCTCAGTAATTCAGGAAACTCCTGCATCTCTCCAGATGTTATGGAGAAGCATGTCTCCAACGTCCTGACCTGCATATCCAGAGCATCCTGCTCCAGAACCACACAAGATCATGCTGTATCACAGGACTTCCAGCATCAACCTAGTTTGGCCAGGTTAGAAATGCAGTACCTCAGAAACAACCTGCCTTTTGGGGTTGCAGTACCTCAGAAACAACTTGCCTTCTGATTTTGGGGAATCTTTCTCCTTTCTAGCACTAGCTAAATAGTTCCCAAGCTTCACGTCCAGGACTGGCTCTAGCTAGGCATGCCATTCTGAGCGCTATAACAACACAAGCTGTTTTACCATCTTGTGCTCCATTTCCCACTGTGCAATGAATGTAACAGGACCAGGCTCCTAACTGTGCCATGTCTCATTGCATGAACTCACTCCACACCAAGCCCCTTGTCTCAGGACATCAGCTGCGCTTAGTTACCTGTGAACCGGAGGTGTCTGTTTGCTTTGCATCTGTGAAAAATCAAGTCTTAGTCAGTCTCTGCTGCAATGGGACAGAGCCAAGATAAAACCCAGCCGTGAAACACTGAAGACTGGACGGTTCATTTCTAGACCACTCAGTGCTTGCAGGTAAGACGTGAACCCAGGCAGGGAGGGAGTGAACTGATGGGCTGCAGAGAAGACCCTGGCATCATTGCCAGGGAGGCTGCGTGGAAGGATGGCAAGGAGGCTGGATCTGTATAACTGGAAGGAAGAGGACTGGGCAGTGTTGCACATGGCAGTTACCAAGGACAGCTTTGAGTATGCCGAATGGTCTGGGCATGCACCTTTTTGGCACAAGAGTGGGACATCCAGGTCACACGTCTGCCCTCCGTGATGATGAGTTCCCTCAGGCTAGCTGGCCCAGGGAGGGAGTTGCAGGACAATTCTCTCCACTGAGGCAAGAGGCTTGTCCTCAAGAGCACCCCTCCCTGGCACTCCCAAGACTCTTATGCACTAGTGCATATCAAATGCTCCCCAAGAAACTAGCCAGACCTGTTTGCTGTCAGCCCGGGGAGGAGAAAAGAGGAGAGGAGTGTCAGTCTCTGGGAGGGTTCAGGCAGGACCCAGAGGGACCAGAGCACTGAGCCCAAGCCATCATCTCCACGGTAGCTCAGGGGCACAAGGCAGAGAGAAACCGCTGGACCAGCCAAAGCCACGATGACGGCACTTCGGGTTTTGCTGCTGTTGCTGCTGACAGACATCTCCCAAGAAAGTGAGTCCTTGGGCTGCAGCTTCATGGTGTGAGCAAGGAAAGGGGTGATGGGAAGGAGTCCTGATTCCTGCGGCTGGGGCTGAGAGCAGAGTTACTCCCGTACGGAAACCAGGCAGTTCCTTGACTGAGTAAATGATCAGGATGGAGCTGCAGCTTGGCTCAGGCTTTACTTGCTAAGCTCACTGGAGTGGTTCTGGTCCCAGCTGTAGCCTGCGCAGCAGAGATCACAGAACAGTGGCAGCACTGAGGAAGATCCAGCACATCTCAGGCCCAGCATAGGGGTCGCCCTTTTAGCCCACCCTTGGCCTTCATACTGAGGTTGGATGGGGATCTTTGTAGGATGCAATATCCCTCAGTGTGAACAGAGCTGTCACAGCCTGGCCCCTGCTGCCCAAGAGACCATGGGGCTCTGGAGCTGAAAACTCAATGCTTTGCTACATAAGAGGAGGCAGGACAGGGGTTCCCTTGCCAGAGCTGACCTCAGGGCAGTGAGAATTCCTCCTTGCAGAGCACCAGTGCTTCTCAGTCTTGCAAATCCCGGTAACGCATTGCTCCACTATGCCCAGGGGGGCAAGGAATTACCCCATTTTACAGATGGGAAAACAGAGAGAGAGTGGAAGTGACTTGCCCAGGTAGCTCTGGGGGTTTTGGCCCAGCTAAGCTGCTGGATCTCTGCCTCCCTGGGCACATACTCAGGCCCAGTATTGTGGTACACAAGTGCCTCCTGAGCGCAAAAGCAGTGGCTCCCTGCCCCAGTAATCAAGAGAGACAAAGGAGTGGGGTGAGGGGCTCCTCATCTCCAGACTTTCTTGAGACCTTCTGGCAAATCTTCTGGAGGGCATTCAGAGGGGTGGCAGAAGGATCTTCTCTGAGACAGTAACAGCATTCACACCCCTTTCCTACAGGTAGGCAGCTCTCCAAAAAGTTTGAGCAATCAAGGTCACAGAGCTTTGAATGCTGTAAAGACTCCAACTCTGTACCCATTGCTCTGGGGGTGGACAGGGGTATTTTCAGATCAGCAAGGTGGCTGGGCAATGCTGTGGCAGAGGTGGGAATGACCATGCAAAAGGCCAGGTCCAGGTACCAGGTGGAGCTGAAGAACAAGTAGCTATTTTAGGTCAAACTGTCCTGTAACAGGCCTTGAACTCTCTCTGAGAGCTAAGTGTGGGACTTGGGGGTTATGTAGTTCCCTAGAGTAGCACAGAGGCAGGTGTGGCGCTTTGCTGTCATACTGCCCTGCCCTACAGGTACAGAATTGATTGATGCCCGGAGAAGAGATGGGAATGCCTAAGCTGGCTTTGTTAGCCTGGCGGGGACAAGGCTGACATGAACAAAAGGGTGTTGTTGACAGTCCTTCTTATGGTCTCTATGGAGAAAGGCACTGGCCCCAGAATGAGAGACATTCAACCCCATTCTGTTCTTACTTGTCTCAAGAGGGCCCCCTTCATGTCTGGGAGGCAGTGTGGTGCAGTGGATAGAGCTCCAGACTGGGAATCTATTTTGCACTGTGTATCCGTCCCCACACTCACTATCTGCCAGGCTCAGGCATTAGGAGGTGTCTGCTTATGTCCTGCTCCTAGTCACTGTGCGTTTCATTGCTTTTCTCCAGTCCCTGTCACTAAGAAGCCTTCCCTTGCTGGCCCAGAACTGGAAGGAAGGATCACCGCCTCCACCTTTGTCCTCAAGCAGCCTCGCTGTATCTTTGATGTGTACACCAGCCACACCGATGAGATCTGGCTGGTGGTTGCCCTCACTAGTGGTACGTGTGCTTCATTTGCAGTGTCATGTCCTCAGCTGCCTCCATGTTGCCCACTCTGTGCAGTGACTGCCTACTCTAGTGGTATGGACTCAGGTACTTTGCAGTGGTCACATAGGTCCACGGAGACCCCACTGCACAGATCAGCTGCAGTGCTGGTTGGCTGGGGATCGGCAGACAGCTGGTTTCTTTTCAGTGTATGGTGTCCCCAAGCTTTGGTTGGCTTGAGATCTGCTTTCCCTTGCTTTTAGCTCTCCCTTTGTAGGTGATGAAGCTGTCATTGGATGCAGGCTGCAGAGTGGGGCATGTGCTGGCTTGAAAGCCCCCACAGCAACTTATGGGGGTGGGCACCATGAGTCTGGATGCTGCAGACAGATCAGCCAGTGTCCTCAAGGTGCCTCACTCCAGTGCAAAGGAGCTGGGGCTAGAAGCTAACGGAAGGACAGCAGCTTGTAGGCTCTGGGACTTGCACCCTGTCTGCCTGAGTGCTCGTCAGAATGACGGGGAAGTGCTGAGCTAGACTGCTCCATGCTTGCTTTCCCTATGGGGTAAAAGCTTGGGATGAGCTAGCAGAGGGGAGCTCCTGGCTTCTGGCCATCACCAGGAAACCCCAAAGTCCATCCAGCCCAGTATCATGTTGGACTGGGGCTAGGGCCCTTGGCTTCAAAGCAGGAAACTTGTGGTACAAGAGTGTGAGCTTGGGAGGGGCTTGGGAGCTTCCTTTCCATGTGCAATCCTGAGAGCCATAGCTGGAGCCATTCCTATTCATGGACGCATCTCATCCCTTTTCTAAGGATCCTTTTTTGAGCAATTGCCTCAATAATGTCCTGTGACGGTAAGCTGTACAGAGGAATGGGACAAAGGAAACAGTTCTTACTGGGGAATGTGTGGCTATCTCAGAGCAGGGCATTTCCATACAGAGGGTTTTGCAGGTCAGGTGCATCCCAGGAATGAAACTCTTAGCCACATGTTAGGTGCACGGTGATGCATTTGTATGCACCTAACACAGTGAGTATCTGGAGGAGCAGAGGTATAAAGGCCCTGGCAGGACTCAGATCAGTCAGAAAGGATCCAAGCCAGCACTGGTGATGTTTGCATCTCTAAGACTTGGAGAGGGATTGGGCCGTAGTATGGAGAGCGGTTCTGGGAGCAGGCAGAGGAGGGGAGAGGAAGCCATTCTGTTACCTCCATGGGGTAGGGCATTTATCCCACCCAGAAATGCTTAATGCAAAGACTTAAAGAGGTAGGCAAGTTACAACAGGAAAAGGGCAGCCTCTGGTGTGTACCGGTTCCATAATCTGGCGGGACTCCACTGTTGATTCCCTCCTCACTCAGTGTGAATCAGGAGCAGACTCACTAGAATCAGTCTGCTGCCATATCCAGCCTGGATTCTCACCTGCTTTTCACTGTTGTCCTGGCAGAGAGATCAAAATTTGTCAACCCAGGACCCCTCCAGAGCCTGCCAGCCTATCAGGATTTCCCCGCAAACATTTCATACATGACCCTGAACACTGCCCGGCTCAACTACCCCTGCCAGCCAGACTCCAGTGACATCACTGTGCTGCGTGTGGGGAGCGAGACCAGCTGTATGAAGGACAGATCCAGGCCCAATTGTAACGGTCCCCTACCAGCCCCAGGACCCTACAGGTAAGAGATGGTGGCTGGACTGGAGTGCTCATGCCATAACATCTGGTAGGCAGCGTATGCCCTAGGGAAACACTTTAGACTCATGGGAGGGAGATGGTGGTAGAGCTGTGAAGGCATCTTGCTATGTCTCTAGAAGCATGAATAAGTCTCACTCCAGACATGTGCCAAAAGACTGTCCCAGCTGTAAATGGCACCTGGTCAGTCAGGCAAAGGAGTCAAAGGTATGTGATGCGAGTCACATCCCTCTGCAGCTTGCAGGAGCTGGTGTGCCTGATTCTTACCAACCCTAGGGGCTGTCAGGACTCCTGACCTTCTTGCTACATGGTGGAGTCCACTGAGTGCAGAGAAATGATGAATCACTCCTCAGTATTGTGAGGGCTGATGGGGGCTGGAGCTCATGAACTTCACTCCTCTGGAGAATCTTCCTATTGATTTACCTCTGAGGCTCATCACACCCCCAGGACAGTCCTCTCCTTGTTAGCCCCAGGGATACAGCATGACAGCAGATCCCCAGTAGGTGCAAATGCCATGGCCCCACTGACTTCCAACCTAGAGCAACACCAGTCTGCAGGTGCTGAAATCTGGCCTGGGCTTTGTTTTCCTGGTCTCATGAGCTCTGAGTGTTTGAGAATAATGGGAAGTGGCATTGCAGTCTGGCAGGGCCATGGGTCCATGAGGTTCTCTCCCCCACCCACTGTTACCTATAACCCAACAGGTGCTAGCCAGTGGCCCCAGCTACTTCTGAGCTTCTTTCCTCTCTTCACAGTGTGAAGTTTCTTGCAATGGATAATTCTCAGCCCAAGGCTGAGACAGAGTGGCTAGACGACATCACACTGAAGACAGGTAACTGCTTGTGCACTGCTCACTGCCTGCCATCCATCACAAACCTTGAGGCCATGTGGTTTAGTCACCAGAGGCCTGGGTTCATTCCTGCTGCTGCCACAGCCTCTTCATGCATCCTTGAGCTAGTCCCTTAGTCTCTGTGTGCCTCAGTTTCCCATTCTATAAAAGCAGGGTAACAGCCCTGCCCTACCTCACAGGGGTGTCATGGACTGTGAGATGCAGTGGAAAACTGGAAGTAACATGGCTGCGTTTTTTGCCCTTGCCCATGAGCCAGCAATAGCAGTGCCTGTACTGCATGGGGAAACATGGGGAAGGAATTTGCCTAGAGTCATAGAAGAAAATCAGTGGTTATTCCTGGTTAGTGGTTATTCCAGACCAGGAATAACCCCTGGTCTGCTGAGGCCCAGACCAGTGTCTCGATGGCTAGACCACTCCCAGTACATGACTTGTCCTCTTGAATACCTTTAGTCCCATTGAGGGCAATGGGGTCATTCATGGGCTTGCAGATAAGCAGGTGCTTTGCTGAATCAGGGCCCAACTCTCTTTTTTCCTGTGTGTGGGTCCCTGCTAGTGCTGTGTATGACATCATTTTTTGTCCCCCTGCTCCTTGCTCCAGCACAAGACCCCAGCACCATCGACCCCCAGCCCAGGAGGCGCAGCGCCAGCATGATTGTTATCACGACCATTTTGTCCATCCTGTTGGCCATCCTGCTGGCCTGCTTCATCGCCATGCTGATCTACGTATGGTGAGTCCCCACTCATCTGCCCCTAGGATGCACCTAATCACTGAAGAGACTGCTGTTGGTTTTAAACTACTCAGCTTGGTACCAACTCCAGCAACATGCAGCTGAGTAGGGGCTGGAAACCTTCCCTGGGAGCTGAACAGGAGCCAAATTGGGTAGTTTAAAGATAGCCTGGTCATGTCCACACTGCAGGGGCTGTGGACATTTGGATCTGAACTAAAGCAGTGGGAGTGGCCAGTGGACGGATCGCAGGGTCTGTGGTTATCAGCCCCCAAGGAAGCCCCACTGGCCTATACAAAATCACCAAACACTTTCTCTCTGATTTAGCCTGACACCCGCCTCTTCGGCTCAGCAGAGGGAGCTCAGCCCAGCAGAGTCTGGCGGTAGCTGGAGAGGGGGGGTGAAGCTGACACATGTAGGTATCGCTCAGAGGCAGCTCTCAGCAGACAGAGCTGTGCCTGACCCACAGGTCAGGATAGCCACACTTTGCTTCCCTTGCTGAACCCTTGCTCTGCACCAACCTGTTCCCTCACCTTCCTTTCACAGTACGGATATTTGCGGAAGCAGTGAGATATACAACAAGGAGTCCCCTGTGGCAGTGACACGCTACAATACTCATCATGTATACAGCCAGCCTGAGAACAGGCCCTGAGCCCCGCCAGCGACTCGAACTGCCTCTCCAGCCACCCTGAGCCACCACCAGGCAGCAGAACCTCTCAGCTCCTGGACAGCGCCTGGGAAACAGCAGCACCCCCTGCTGCTCCGCTTTCGGAGGCTGTTGGGGTTGGGGAGCCAGGGGGCTCCTCCTTTTGGGACACCTTCTCTGTTGATTGCTCCTGTCCCTCTGATGCATTTACTCCGTGCTCCAGGGATGATGGATTTAGCTAACACCCCTCCCCTGCTCCTGCCAGGCTGTCCCTCCTGCCCTGCTTCCTCCCCCAGCTACACTCAGCCATGACTTAGGAGAGAGAAGTCTTATGTCTCTGACTCAAACATGACCAGAACGAGGCCCAAACCCTGTGACAGGGCACACCCAGCCCTTAGCTCAAACATCCCCTGAATGCCATGGCTGGGGGTAGAAATCTACATCCATCCTGGAGCTGGGACCACCCCTTGGAAGTTGGCATTTCTGGGGTACAGGATGCATACTCTACTCTTAACAGGATGGGATGATGGTGTTTCCTTGCAATCATCCAGACCTTCCATGGATATGGCTGAGGTGGAGGTGCTGGGGTCAAGGCTCTCTGCAGCCACCCACTCAGACAGACACACAGCCTGACTTTCCTGCAGAAGTAGCAGTCCCCATCCTGGCCCCCTTGGATGTCAACTTCTCCCAGACCCCACAGCTCCATCCCTTGCATGGCCAGAGAAGTCACTGGCGGGTGGCCTGATGCACTCCTTGTACACCACCCTATATAATCCCCTTCTGGACTGCCCCAGTAGCCTAAGCACAGGACTAATTCTAAGCATGTACTTGAGCACTAGGCAAGATAGCATCTGTGGGCTTTGCTGGTTAGATCAGCAAGACACCATGGGCAAGGAAGACCATTTGCTCAGGGCCCCCATGCTTCATGTATGTCAGCTAAAGAGCCATCCCAGTCCCTTGCCTACCTCAGTCCCATCTGATCCCAGGGAACCACAGGAGGGAGAATGTTCTGTGGATGCTCTGATGTCTGCTAAGAGACATGATGTGCTATCCGGTTTGATGAATCTGTTGTGATCCAGCAGCAGCAGGAGCTCTGCTCTGAGATAAAGCTTTCCTGGCAAAGCTCCAGGCAAGAGTTGGGTGTCATTCATGGCAGGCATTAAGCAACCCAATGGAGCACTGGTATTAAAGGCATGAGACTTCTCTGGGTGTAGATCTTCTAGGAGTAAGAGCTGGGCTAGGTTTGCGTGAGCTGGATGTTGGCAGCAGTTGCAAGGGCCCCTGGAGAAAGGACTGGGGTTCTCAAACAAGCCTGATGAATTTAGATGCCCGCTTCCCTGGAACTGCAGTGGCAATCCTAGCCTGACATGTAGAACAGTGTTCCCAGGCAGTGCCCCAGCAAACAGCAACCCTGTGCTTCCCCCCGTCTGTGCACCAGTAACAACATGGCATGTATCTATTTGCCGTTTGCTTTTTAATTTTCAAAATACCCATTAAAACTGACTTGCATGAAGCTAAGTTCCTCTGTCAGACTTGGCCATTGCCCTGTAGCACTGCCTCTTGGGATGTGCAGGTTGGAGTCCTAGAGCCCCTAATCCTCTACGGAGGCCAACATCCCTGGCTGAATTACACCTCCTCTGATCCAGTGTGGTTTATCTGTCTGTCTCCCTGGGTGGTGCAGTGCACCAAGGCCTTGTTACAGGGTAATTTTCGGCAGCTTCTGGAGCCTTAAACCCCTTGTCTGGCCGCACGTTAACACCTCTAAATGGCTTAAAGCACTCATTACTCAACTCAAAGTTATGCCACTCCAGGGCAGGTTTATCTCTGATCTGCACTGCCCAGCTCCTGGTCCATTGAGGTGTGGCCACTTGAGCCTGAGCATCCTAGGTGCAAGAGAAATGAACCTTTGTGGTGTGGGAAGGACCCTTAGTCAGTTTTGCAGGTGCAGGTATTTCAATAAAGCTTGTACATGCAGTTGTATATGCAGTAAGGCAAGGAGTGGCCACATTGTTTAAGCAGGGGATTAGCAGTGCTCTGGGCATTCTGCCCTGAAGGGGAGAATTACAAATATGGCATCTGAGTCACAGGGAAAACAATCTGCACCTCCATGCCTGTGACAGAGAAACCCTGTTTGGGGTGACTCAGTTATTCCAGAGGATAATTATAAACAGAGTCAGTCAAAGAGATTTCTGATTGAAAGAGGTTTTCAATGGCAAATAGGATTTTGTTATGAGAAGACTCAGAGAAAAAAATGACTTTTAATGAAACAATTTGGTTTCCCAAAATGTCAAAACTGTTTTCTTATATAAAAGATTCAATTAAAAAAAGCACACTCCAGAGAAAGTGGTTTCAAATAGCAGCTGCTTTTCCTGCTGGCTGACTGTCTCCACTGGCAAAGGCTGAAAGCAGTTAGAAACACAGAGTCAGGAAGTGAAGCAGCCCGTACTTGTTCCCACTTCATTACTGTTGCCCAGAAGCAAAATTAGGGTAACAGGAACAAACTGGGGAAAAGTGCTATTTGCATCTGTCTAATGGGGTGCTCAGCCCCCAGGGGCTCAGAGCTCAGCTGCAGGCTGTCAGTGGGTAATAGTCTGCCTGGCTGGGAGGCTGAGGGCCAGCTGGAAGTGATGACCAGCTAATAAGCATGGAGCCACAAAGAGTGTTAAAAGCTGGAGGAGGAGGGCTGTCTGGAGAGAGAGGTGGGTGTTGTGTGGTTCTCTGTTTTAAGGTTGGGTTGTAGCTTCAAGTTTGTATTGGTGAAGGATAAATTGGCCTGAGACCAGAGCTGGCTTGTCTGTAAGGCAGCAAAATAAGTGACCTGCTGGCAGCCTTCTTATCAGGCAGCTGTAAAAAGTGAAGTTTCTTCCATTTTTTGTTTAATTCTTTCTCCACATATTGCCTATTTAAAAACAGTAGGAAGGTGTGAAAAGGGGGTTCACTTTCTTCCCCTTTAATAAGAGAAAAGCATGCAAGCAATCTTAATTGGGTCCCTTTGCACAAAGGCATTATGGCTCAGTTCTTAATGAAGTGAGCAGATGCTGTTTGCTTTCCAAAAGCCAGGCCCTTGCTCCAGAGCACGTGGAAGTGCTAAACCAACCCAGAGAGGAGGCTTCTTTCTTAAGTGGGGAGCAGTATCCTTTTACCTAATGAATGAGACTTTCTTACTGAAACTTTGCAACATTTTAGCCCTAGATAAATTCTGAACAACTGAAGATGGGGGATTCGTATAGATGTTTCTGGGAACCTTGCAGGTAGTTATCACTGGCAGTCCCATCCATGATTCTTAGCTTGTCTGCTGAAGCTGTGACTGATGTCATGTATGAGGGTGTCCAGTATTGCATATCTGCTTTGTGAGTAAGTAGGAGGTCTCTGCCAAAAGTGTGTTCTCTGTAGGCAGTCTCCTTGCATAGAAATATGCTTATTTTTTCCTTTCTTCTGGTGGTGTTTGCTGTTTGACCACTAGATGGCAAGCCTGCACAGTTCTTAGATGTGCTATGACAGCCCCATTGGGGTTTTGGCTGTAGGCAGTAACCCTATGGCTCTGGGTTAGTCTGAAAGTGGAATTTGTGCTACTGACTTATTTGTGTTAATGAAGCTGGACAAATCCCAGTAAGCATCAGTAACAATATGTTAAAATGCATCAGGACCTAGCCTAGTTGTGCGTGTTGCATATTCATCTTGGCTTCTTGTAGGGAAGATTGGGTGTCTTGCACAAAGGCAGGTTCGGTATATGCCCCATAGACTTACTTAATACAATAGATGGATTGATTTGCATGCCTGTGGGCTATGAAAGTCTTGGGCCCAAATGGCTTCCCACAGTAGAGTAACTAGTGAGCAGGGCATCAGCCCCAAGCATTGACTGTGAGGGGGCACCAGAATCTCTGCACATCCTCCCCCGCCACCATCTTCAGTGGTAGGCGTACCTCTGTTCCCCTCTCCTTCCCACCCTGGGCACTCAATTTGCTCCCCATAGCCAACAGCCTTCTTCTGAATAGGGCACAATGTGCAGATCAAATGCTGCTCAGGACCTGTTGCCCAGATGTGAACTACACTGATGGACAGCTCCATAGCATTCAGCAGGGAAGGGCTTACGTCTTACTGCAATGTTAAGACTTATACCAGGAAGCTGACGTGAAACATGTCACAAGAGCAGAAGGTGATTGTGTGGTGCAAAGGTACAGTTGGTGAATCCTCCATGGCTACAGAATTGGATTAACACCCCTCTTGGGGTCCCTTCCAGCTCTATGAATCTAGGAAAAAGAATGTTCACACCCCAGGAAATAGGTGGTGCATCTTAGGAGCAACTTGCTTTCTTTTGTAGCATGAAGATGGAGCTGGGTTACTAGGTAAGAGAGGCCCATATATGCTGGCAGAGTACTGGGATATGTGAATTCATGGTCTGACCCTGTGTGGGGGACATCAGGAGACATAGCTGGTGTTCTAATCATGCCTGACTAGCCCTGGATCCTGAGACCTCCTGCTTAGTAAAAAGCTGGGATGGGCAAGCGATCAACTGGAAATGCAGAAGGATACTCATAAGACAATGAAAGAGAATGTGGTGCAAACACTGGTCCAGCACGCATGAGGAGTGAGTCACCATGCGCTCCAGCCCATCACTGGCAATCATTTCTGTTTCAGGCTGTAGGCCCTCAAATTGCTGCCATTAAGGCTGTGCAGCAGTGGGAAGTGTGTGTGGGTTGACTGAACGGGGGGGAGTAGATGAGCTTCAATGGCATTTTAAGGCCTGACGTAGCTGCACAGCTATAAATCTCAATGACTCTCAGCAACAAACACACAAAGGCTAGAGATGCAAAGCATAGAGGTGGTACTAGCTGCAGAGGGGCCCCCACTGATGCCCTTGGGAGGCTGGCAGTAGTTATTCTATTGGATTTATAGGTTGGAAGAGTCTGAGGAAAAGCAGGTAGATCAGCCCAGCAAAGAATGTTTTCTGGGGTGCAGAGAAGAGGAGGTGGAGTGGTTGTCAGTCCATCCTCACCTGGGGAGAATTGCTCAGGGAACGCGTTGGAATGTAAAGCGGGTGACACGTGTTACATCTTTAACTCGGCTTATGGCCATCTGCTGACATTCAGGTCTTTCAGGGTTCAGAATAACCTGCCATTGCCCTGTGGAGGGTGACTGGATCCCTCATGGCCAGTGGTTCATTAATCTCTAAGGCTCTCTGGCCAGTTCCCATCTGGCCTGCATTCACCTTCCAGAGCACATGGGCTTTAGTAGCCAGAGCCCTAGAGAGCTGGACCCCTGATCTGCCCCATAACCTCTCCACACTCTTGAGGGGTTAGTACTAGTGATGAACACACGGACTGTGACAGTACGGAGCAGAGATGGGAAAGACCGGAGGCAGCAAATTCATGTGGATCAAGTCCCAGTAGTGGGACGTATGCTAGGGGCAGGGAGGCATAGAAGGAGCACAGCACTTGAAAGAAAATGGCCTGTAGCAGGGCACTAAGGTGCCTGCTTCTCTTGGAGTAGAGTTAAGAGCCCAGGTGCAGGTTGCCAGGGCTACGAGTTACTGAGGGAATAGGCCGCACCTGCCCCTGGTCAGCTGGCCGGAAGAGGCAGGGCCCTAGGCCCATATAAAATACAGGCCTGAGGCCAGGAGGAGAGTTCCCTGCCAGCTATCAAGGGGGATGGAGCTCTCCCAGAGTAAGCAAAGGGGAGAGGCCTGGCTGCAGGAACAGTCTCTGTCACTGCTGAGGGATGGCGTATTCCCCGGTAGGGTGAATGACGTTATAGCTGGGCAGCTTGAATTTATGTTATAGCCCAGGGGCTTGTGGTTTGTTTGCTGTTTAAGACTGGTGGTTTGGGTGAGGCTATTAGGGGATGGAGGAGGCCTCATAGGGGACCCCTGGCAGTGTGGGGTCCTAGTGCCAGATAGGGTGCAGCATTGGGGGTGCAAGGACCTGAGCACCAGTGGGGCGCAGAGTGAGACAGGGCTGCGGCGAGCCTGAGCACCAGTGAGGGCGCAGAGTGAGACCGAAGAATGTCAGTTCCATTTGTGAGGCCTGGGGCACGGTAAAGGGGTGGTTGGAGCCACGCATAGCCCATAAGGCTGGGGTGCCCTGAAACACCCATTACAGAACGGGGCCAGTGTACAGCAGGAAACCGTGTCCAAGAGGATGGAAAGGCAGCCTCCCTATTA